TCAAAGTATTCTGATGATTCCTCTTCCTTATGGGAGTCTAGCAGCTTCTTATACCCCAATGTCTCTAAGTGTAAGAACCCCTCTTCCCCGTCTTTGGTAAGAGCACTCTGTAGGTAGTCTTCTTCAGTAAGCTCTTCAAGTAGTTCGTCAGCTAAACGATCCATTTCTTCTATGTAGAACACTTGTCCATCAATAGTAGGTTTCTTCATCGTCTTAGTGATGTCGAATGTCATCTTGAAATCTTCACCGAGGTTCAAGTCGATCTTACCTCTTCTGACATCAATGAGAGCTCCAGCAGTAGCTAAGAAAGGTCTCCCTAGTATGAGAGGGTCCTTTGGCTCTTCATCCATTTCTAAAACAACGAAGTCTGTAGGAATCTCTACCTTTCCTATTCTGACTGGTAGATCCTCTAACATACCATGAGGGACTCGTACGGATCTGTCGGCTAAGATTAGTTGGATTTGGCAAGACTTGTACTTGATGAACCCGAGTCTTCTTGCTACTGAGAGTGGCATCAAACTGACTGATGCACCTAGATCACATAGGCATTTGTTGAAGAACAAAGGGCCTAGTGAACAAGGTAGAGTAAATGAGCCGGGATCCCCAAGCTTCTTCGGTATAATCTTCTTCTGTATGATAGCACTGCATTCATGGCTCAACACTACCATTCCTTGTACTTCCTGAATTCTCTCCATTATCATGTCCTTCAAGTATTTGTGAGAATCCGGAATCAGCATGAAAGCATCAATGAGAGGCATCCTCAATTCAATCTCCTTGATGTGTTTAGCAAACATGGCTCTGTACTTCTCAATGATATCCCTCTTGAATCTTCCTGGGAATGGTATTTTGGGCTTGTAGGGTGGTGGAACGAAAGCTTTCTTCTTACTCTTATCAACAACAGTTTCTTTGATCTGGGGGCTCTTAACTTGATCCCTAGGTACAGCATCTTGGTCAAGCTTAGTGGTGTCTTCTACTTGAGTCTCATTCTGAAGAGAATCCTCCCCATCTTGAATCTCACTGTCCTCAGTGACAGGAGCTTGGTTAGGTCGAGCACGCAGCTCTCGACCACTGCGGAGTTGAATAGCATGAGCATACTCTTTCGGATTCTGAATAGCTTTCCCTGGTAGTTGTCCGGGGTGTGTAGGTGCAGAAGTAGAAGCAGCTTGGCTTTCCATGTACTTCACCTTGGAGTTTAGAGCCTCAATCTTGATTTGAAGCTCAGCCAGCTTCTTATCACCAGCTACTTGGCCGTGTAGAAGCTGCTGAAGCATTTGCTTCATGTCTTGATCTTGGGCGGGTGGAGCTGGCTGGGGTTGCGGTGCAAAACCGGGTGGTGGATTATATTGTTGATAACCGCCACTAAACTGCTGCTTTGGGACAAAGCCTTGATTGTACGGTATGAATGGCTTGGACTGGTTCTGTTGTGGCTGAGGGTAAACCTGATCTTGAGGGTTTGCAACATTCGTGCTCCGGTAAGAGAGATTAGGATGAGCAGGCTTATAGGGGTTGTAGCCCTTGTTGTAGCCACCTTGGTTCTGAACATAACTGACTTCTGCAGCCTGAGTGTTCTCCCCCTCTTGGATTTGATAGTACTCTTCTTCAGTGATATAGTGTACTGGTTTCTGGTTAGTAAGCAGAAATTGATCCAGCTTGTCATTGAGAGCCTTTACCATCTCTTTAGTATGCTTTGCATCCGGATCTCCAATGCTTCTGTTGGAGCGATCAAAATCCTCGTTATAGTTACCATCAGATAGAGCTAAGTTCTCTATCAATTCCCAGCCTTCCTCAACATCCTTATTCAAGAAATTCCCATTAGAGGCAGTGTCTAGCAACATTCTGATCTTGGGCAAAACTCCCCTGTAGAGTGTGCTGAGTAGTGAAGCCTTCTTGAAACCATGGTGTGGACACTGTATAGTGTAGCCTTTGAATCTCTCCCATGCTTCACAAATGGATTCAGACTGCTTCTGTGTAAAACTGGAGATTTCATTTCGTAGACGTGCAGTCCGGGAATTGGAGAAGAACTTTGTTAAGAATGCCTTCTTGCAATCATCCCAAGATGTGATGGAGCCAGCAGGTAGTGTCTTCTCCCAGTGGTGTGCTTTGTCGCCCAGCGAGAAGGGAAACAGACGTAGCTTGAAGCTGTCTTCACTAACACCATTGATCTTGGTGAGGCTGCAGAGCCTATCAAAGTTATCCAAGTGATCCAAGGGGTCTTCCAGAGGCAACCCATGAAACTTGTTACCTTGAATCATTGAGATCAATCCACTCTTGATCTCGAAATTGTTGTTCTGGACAGGAGGTGGAACGATGCCCTGTCTCTGTTGATGGTTGCGTGGTGCATCACCATCACCAATGTTCCGTGGTATACCAACTCCTTGATTATCATGATCTTGTGGTTCCATGGCGACTGGATTGTGCGGTTCACAGTAGTCTCGGGCTCTACCTTCTCTTAACTCACGAGCTAACTGGTTGATGTTGTCTTTGTAGCTGATGAGGTTGTTGGACCCTTTAGATCGAGTTTGCATGCAGAGTGATCAGACTCGATGTGGCAGTCTCGACGTGAGGTCGAGATGGTCCCTAACAATGCAGAGTGGCAGTCTCGATGTGGCAGTCTCGACGTGTCGTCGAGATGGTACCTGGAGCACAAAAACAAGCAGATGAAATGAAGAGTTAGTAACCAAGGTAAAGAAAGAACTTGATCTTAAACGTTTCTGAAATCTTAAATGGAACAATGCAACACAAGACTGGCAACGGCGCCAAATTGATAGTCAGATTTTGTCTATCTCTAACATGTATCAATCCCTAATACACATGCCATTGTAGTATATTAGGTTATCAATCCAATCTCAGTGTGACTGCAAGCATTCAAGATATGAAACAGAAAGCAAATAAGTCAAGCCAATTGTGAAAGGGTTTTGTGTGTTTCTATTGATCCTAAGCAACCAATTTAACATGCAAATACCGAATTTAAAAGCAATAAAAGAGAACTAAACAGCAAGTAAACAAGAGCAAGAAGTAAACTAAAGACCAGAAACTATCATGCATAAGCTTTGGAAAAGAAACTAGCAACCTAACAATGCAGAGAAACGATCTAGGCCTAACAGGTCGAGATGGTCAACAGAGACTAACAGAAACAAGATTTAAACAATCAATAGAGATAAAGGGTCTTGAGGAATGGGGTAATCGATTATGGCAGTCTCCTTAGTCTACCTAGGTGGTTAACAAACTCAATCAAGCTATCCCTAGACAATAGATTCGAATACAAATCAATCCACTCTCGTGACAGAGATTCTCAAGCTAAATCACTTTCATACTCAATTCTCATTGAAGAAATATAATCTAGCAGGCATTAAGATTCAATCTAATAGAGTCAATAAGCATTCTAAACATCCAATCTCTTGGGCTAGAGTATGCAAATCTCTGGAATAGTTGGTTCAGACATTTCATCAAACACCTTTTGGGTGTGGAAATATCTGAGATCAACTTCCAATTGATCAGAGAGGAAGTAGCATTAAGATCTACTAAACCAGAAGGGAAATCAAGCAATTCTACACTTAACCACCTAAATATACTAAGGATTCCACACCTAATCTATCCCATCCTCAAAAACCCTAATCCACTACTCAAGAACACTGAAGAACATCATGCATAAAAACCCAGAAAACGTTTCAAACCCAGAAATCATTAAAAAGCAAGTATGTTATAGATAAGAGGCAGATCTACAACGTTGATGAAGAAACGAAATCCAAAAACTCAAAGGATCAACAGGAAAAACGATTACAAAAACTAGGGTTTATGAGAGAAAAGAAGAATATCTGCTGGGTAAAAGGGATATCCTTTGGACAATAGCATGTACCCCTATTTATAGGAAATACTAGGTTGCCCTAATTGGCTACAGGACAAAATAGAGAGTCGGTGGAGGCCAACTCGACGTGTCGTCGAGCCTGACACGTCGAGACCAAGTGATTCTCAAAGGTGGCGCCTTGATGTCCATCTCGACGTGACGTCGAGCCTGTCTGGTCGAGTCTGCTCCCAGGCTGCTTCTTGGTGTCCATCTCGACGTGACGTCGAGTCTGCACGTCGAGACTGCTCCCAGGCTGCTTCTTGGTGTCCATCTCGACGTGACGTCGAGTCTGCACGTCGAGACTGCTCCCAGGTGATCTTGAACGACTTCATTCTTCTCCAATTCGATCCCAAGTCTAGCTCCAAGGTCGTGTTGGTTCCTCCTTGCTCCATTAAGTCCCAAATAAGCTCCAAAGTACCTAAAACTCATCCAATATGCAACATGCTATGCCATGCAATGCAAATCGTACTAAGTGATGAAAATCTTATGAAAAAGGAATATTAATGCAGTGAAACAGAGAGGAAACTAAGCTAAATGCATAAGAAATGTGTGCTAAAAAGAGGTAAAATACAGAGATATCAAATATATAGAGGTATACAACAAGTTATAGTTCCACAAAGAAGGAAACAACTAGGAAACGGAAGTGGTGGAGGCAAGAGCAACAAACTCAACACAAAATTCAAACAATCCATAGATTAGATTAGCCAAACTGCGATTAGAACAGCAATCAAAAAGACAAAACTTTTACCAAAACACACATATAAATAATTGACACAAGGAGACACATAACAACAAAAAGCTCATGTCTAAAGATGAGATTTTGGAAGAATTTAACAAAGCTAATGGGTCAATTAACACATTAAGAGATTAAGAATTGAGTGTTTAGTTTATCAATCAAGAGCAATGATAACAACACCAGTACAAAGAGGCAAAATACTATTACTAAAAATCTTAATAGCAATAGCCCTACCAATAACTTCATCATCTGCCCTGAAATATTCAAAAAAACATATAAATCAAGGATGAGACATCAATGGCTAGATAACTAATCCCGTGTGAATGATGGATATCCATCAAAACTAGAAAGAAAATAATATTCATCTACACAACATGATTGGGGGTTTGGTAAGAAAAATATATAAGGCATCGAGCTTACTTGTTGAAAGTCAATTCGGAAGCTGAAGACTACAATAGATAGAAATGAAAATTAATGTCAGACAACAACATATGCGATTAGTTCGTGGGACGATGATATATTCTCAAATCTAAAACGGCGATATCGAAAGTGGTAGAAAAGATCCCATAAATTAAAAAGAGGATTTTGGCGTTACCTGAGATTGAGAGAGGAGATCGGGACTCGAAACAAGGAAGAACCCTACATAGATGGCGATTTCCTCTACAAATTTTCCAAGCTGCCTACGTTATCAATTTCGTTAGAGACGAAATCATAAACTCAAAATTCAACTAAAATTAGATAAACCCTAGATACCCTTTCAAAACCACCGGAGACGGTGCATAGGTCGAGAACACATGGGAATAGAGGAGAAAAGAGCACGGGCGTCAAGCTGGGAAATGGCCGGAGGCAGTCGATCCGAGTGAAGCCATCACCGGAAAATGCAAGCTGCATCTCTTGAAATTGATCTCGATTTGTCAGGTACACAGACGGAGGAGGTGGCTGGTCCCGCCGGAAGAAATCGCCGAGATAAGTGACAAGGTGGATCAGAGATATGAGAGAACTTTCTTAGAGAAGAAGAGACCAGTTAACACTTCCACGAGTTAATTTTTTTAATTTTTTTCCGACGAATTAAGGGTTATGACTTGAGTTTTTTTTTTCTTTTAACTTGTGGGCATTAAGTCTAAAATTTTGGGTAAATATTGGCCGCCACAAGTGATTTTAGCTTTTCACTATGCTTAGCGTTTCTAAAACGCTATGATAGACCAACCTAACTTTCGGTACTATCTTTAATAGCAGTTATGGAAAATGAGCTATCGTCATGTGCTATCAATGTTCATTTTTCTTGTAGTGTGACAAAGACATGAATTCCTGTACAGATGGATAGTAAAATGTTTTTTAACTTACGAGCGATCCATGATCTTGAAATTTATGGTGTAACCATTAACGTCTTCCATGTTGGCAGATGTATTTCTCAACCTTCCTACCTCTATTATTGCCCCAACAATTTCTGCATCATTACATTAAACTTAGTTATAGGAATAACAAACAAATATGTATAAATAAGGACCCTAAAGAAACATATAAATATGATTATTCATGTATTCTTTACTTACCAAAATATTAGTTGGGACTGAATTCTCAACTATGTAGTCAAAGGGAGTGAGGTTTTCAAACAAGATGGTTTCCTTAGGTTCGGTTCTTGTTACAACAGTGTGATCCATAAACCATATACCATATGGATTGGTTGTTGGACAGATTTTTTCAGAGATCTTTCGGACAATGAAAGTCGTTATAGTCTTCCACTGTTTTTCCTTCATAGACTCTAGATAAACAGCAGCGAAACGACGATCTATTCTTGCATCCATTTGGCCACCCTATAAAATTACGATATAAATGAGATAGTTACATTCAACCATTCAATACATGGAAAAAACAAACAAAGGGATCCTGGGTTTTTGAAACTTACCGATTCATCTACAAGAATGCAGCAGATATCATAGGAGTTAGGATTCACAAATTTCTTGTAAACCCTAAGAAGACAGACACATATCATCCATCCTGTAATTACAGGTGACAACTCGTGAAGCAAATGGTAGTTAACCATGATCTACTCTAAACAACTTAAACTTTGTGGTGAGGGAAGGGTTAAGATTGTTCACGCTATGAAAGAAACAGATAGATGGATGATGGCATGATACCGATATATATAAAGTTTTTTACAGAGGCCATAGGAATTTGAAACACCTTTTCACCGAATCGACGTTTCAATTAGGGAAAAATTCTAATTAAATGAATCAGTAATATTAACTGTATCGAAGGTAATGTTTCCGAGAAAATAGGACCTATTAGATGCCTAGTAATTATTCTATTTAATGTAGATTATTTTTAAAAAATTTAAAAAAGTATCCCTTCACATTATATCTATTTCGCATCCACATAAACCTGTCCACTATAGAATATACAATTTAGAGAAAAGGATTTATGGTTTATGGTTACTGGTTAATGGTTATTCTACTATATGGGTGATAAATTTTTGGGTCTTGGTTAATGGTTTATAGGTTAATGTCGAATATAATGAAAATAATTTTTAAGATCATTTTAGAAAAAATTCAAATCTTGATATGAATTTAGTTAAAAATTCAAATTAAAAAAATAGACAATAGGTTTATACTACAACATACATTATCCATAAATGAGACAGTTTTCATACCAAAACAAAAAAATAACCTGGTCATCGTTCTATCCATATATCCGACAATAGTTAGATACGATTTAAAAACATATTCAGATTGGATTAGTACAGCTTGTCCGGTTGTGGCCAGTCTTTTTGCATCTGCCACACCTGTTAATTTTCACCTTCACAGTCTTTGATTTCTGCAATTTCACAAAAGAGCAGAAATCAGTTTGAATTAAATATTATAATTAATATTTCAATAAAATATTTTTGGTAGATACCAACCGGAAATTCCCCAATGGATTTGATTCTCAGCTGTTTAGGTCTTCCAGATGGCCTTCTAGTCCGCGGCGGGTAGATATCCCCACTCTTAATTCCATTTGGAATAACAACGTCTTCTAGATTGAGTTCAGGATTAATTACACCCTCGTAGGTTGCTCTCCAAGTCGCTGTCTTGTAAAAATGTGCTACCAAGGATCCATAAGATTGACCAACGCTGGTTGCTGCCAACATAGCATGTCCACATGGAATTTTTAGCTTATTGTACTCCTTGCAAGTACATTGTTTACGATCAAGATAGACTTGATGCTTTCCATTGAACAGCCCCACAATTTCATAACTCCAGGTAGACACATTTCCAACTTTGCTTCCTCTGACCTTTGCAAGATTTTTCGTCCATACTTTATCTACTTCTGGAGTAACTACCCCTATATGCTTTCCAGACTTCTTTCTTCTTGCACTGAACCATCTTGTTAACATCGCCCGTATGAACTTCAACAATTCCATAATAGGGGACCCTCGGCCTTTTCTTAATGCATTGTTCAGAGTTTCTGCAATGTTGCTTGTCATTAGATTATATCGGTCACCTTGGAAATAGACCCTTGTCCAATGCCCTGTTTTCATCCTCTCAAGATAATTAGCACACTCACTGTTCTTCATGCTTATCTGAGCATAAATCACATTGAACTGTTTGACAGTATAAGCATAGCCAGCGTTCTTAACCAGATTAGCAAGACCTTTGTTATGGAATTTAGCATTCACATTACGTGCTAAGTGAACTATACATGCCCCATGGTAAGCGCAAGGAAATACCTTCTTCTTAGCTACGTAGATTGATTGGTTACGGTCTGAAATTATAGTAATGGTACTGCTGTCGGCAATAATACGCTCAAGCTTCTCAAAAAACCATGTCCAAGATTCATCATTCTCACTGTCAACCACTGCAAATGCAAGGGGGAAAACCTGGAAGTTAGCATCTTGTCCACTAGCTGTCAGTAACACTCCCTTGTATTTACCAGTCAAATGAGTCCCATCCACTACAACAACCCTACGAAGATGTCGAAATCCCTCAATAGATGCCCCAAATGCCAAAAACATATACAAGAACCTTTGACATCCATTTTCTTCAGCCTTTGTTTTGATCTCTGTAACAGTACCTGGATTTTCAAGTTTCAATACATACAGATAATCTTCTAAAGCCTTATATGAATCATCATCAGTACCAAACACCTCTTCCACAGCTTTCTCACGTGCTCTCCAACAAGTACTATATGACGCTGTCACCCTCAAATCCTTAAGTACCATCTGTTGAAGATCCATAGGCACTGGCCCCTGAGCTATCTTACTGTACTTTGCTTTATACACCGATGCAATAACTCTAGAAGTTGCCTTCTTCATGTACTGTCCCCTTGTTTCTATATTGCATGTGTGCTCTAAATCAGCCTTCCTTATCTGGTAGTAACCACACGTCTTCATCTCAAGAGCCATTATTCTCCACTGACAGCGTTCATCAGCACAAGTAAGAACAAAAGAATGACGCTTTGTACGAGTTTGCTTAAAGTAAAATTGTTCCTTGATTGCATGGATAGCTAAGCTTATTTGGCAATCTTGTTTACTTTCATATACCATTCCCTTAAAGATCCCTTTCTCATCATCTTCAATATCAAGATCAGGGATTTCGTCCCTTTCATATTCACAATCATCAAACAAAGGAGGTATATCAAACTCCTCGTCATCAACTTCATCAAGTTTCCTTGCCTCATTTTCTCTCTGTCCTCCAATTGGCAAGGCTGCTGAGCCATCACTTCTTATACCATCTTGCAAACCTTTTTCTACTAGAGAACTAATTTCCCTCGGACTACACATTATCTCAGGGGCATTAGAACCAGCTAGCTCATCATCCAAAAAATTACCCCAAAACTCTGTATCATATCGGGATGGAGAAACTTCAACTTCACCTTCCCCTAATTCAAGCTCTTCCTCACTATCCTCTAATATATCTTCATAGTCTCCACTACTGCCACTAGTTCTACTTTTCCCCTCACAACCACTCCTAAGTACTTGTTCATCGCCTCTCGTAAACATAGCCTCCAGTACTTCAACCTCAGCTAAAACAACCTCATCATCTTGTGTGGTTAGAATCTTTGAAGTTTTTGAGCCTGCAGCTGGAGCCTCCCATCCAATGTCATCATCACTTCTTTCAATTCCTTCACTTGATGATGAAAGCACTCTTTTCTTGCTCCTTATAACAGATAACCCAGCAACACAATCTTCCCTTCCATTTTCTCCATGAGGACTCCCTTTCCCCATCATTCTATCCATTACTTCAACCTCAGCCAAAACATCCACATCATCTTATGTGGTTGGAATCTGTGGAGTTTTTGAACCTGCAGTTGGAGCCTCCCATCCAATATCATCATCACTTCTTACAATTCTTTCACTAGATGATGAAAACACGCTTTTTTTGCTCCTCATCACATATATCCCAGCTACACATTCTTCCCTCACATTTGCTCCATGAGGAATCACATTCCCCATCATTTCACCAAAATTTACGAATAAATTCAATCCTCTATTTCTCAGGAACATATAAATGAAAAATTTCAAACCAACCTCACTAGTAACCAATATCGGAGGCGTCGTCTTCCCAGTCGTGTAATCCATTATATTCGGCGGCAAATAACTAAACCTGGGTGTCCCCAAAATTGAAACTTCATTCTGGAATTCTTTTAACACAACCTCTTCCAACTCGCATAGCTTCATCCTGTGGGTAATTGGAACAAT